GAAATTTCTTCTTAAACCCATTTATGCAGTTTTGACAAAGACTCTGACTCACCAGTGTTCTCTATGTGGGGTTTGTTCTCAGGTGAGAACAGAATCTACACACACTCAAGAGCACAGAGGAGAGAACGGTTCTGCGCTTTAAGAACACGTCATGAATCTGACGCAGACTTTTTCTTAGGACCTTTATAAAGAACATATTCAAGAACACACTTACGAAGATGTTGGAGAACGAGGAACAGTGTCCTTAAAAACAGATGATACCATTTTACAGAGAGGGAGAACATAATAAACATTAAACTAACCAACAAACTCACCTTCTAACAGCTCTGCTGTTCATCCTACTGTCAACTACCGACACGCTGGAGTCCAGACAAGCTTTCCAACAGAAACAACACAGCAGGTCATCAAAACAGTCACCCTGATTCAGAAACACTGAAACACCACTTTCATTCTGTGGTCCTGACTGTCAGAAACAAACTGGGTCCAGTTACTGTTACATTAGATACATTCATGGCTGAGATTAGCAGGCCAGCTAGCTGGATATCAGTCATTACGCTGCCTTATAATCCAGTCACATTAACTAACACACTGAGTTATAGTGGACATTTCAAACTGAGCTCATTGACCACAATATTCAGCATAAACACACATCATCAAATAATAATAGAGTGGACTACACATCCGAACGAACGGCACCGCATAAACGAACGAATGCAATTTACCTTTATAAACGAATGAATCAGGGCTGCATTCCTAACAGGAATCAGTTCAGTTTGGAGGAGTTTCTGAATGGCTGTCACTGCACTGATATCTCAGTGTGTACAGTGTCACTGTACTGATATCTCAGTGTGTAGTGTCACTGCACTGATATCTCAGTGTGTACAGTGTCACTGTACTGATATCTCAGTGTGTACAGTGTACTGATATCTCAGTGTGTACAGTGTCACTGTACTGACATCTCAGTGTGTACAGTGTCACTGCACTGATATCTCAGTGTGTACAGTGTACTGATATCTCAGTGTGTACAGTGTCACTGTACTGATATCTCAGTGTGTACAGTGTCACTGTACTGATATCTCAGTGTGTACAGTATCACTGTACTGACATCTCAGTGTGTACAGTGTACTGATATCTCAGTGTGTACAGTGTCACTGTACTGACATCTCAGTGTGTACAGTGTCACTGTACTGATATCTCAGTGTGTACAGTGTCACTGTACTGTACGTTTCTGGGTGGTGGAGGTTAATCAGGGCAGTCCAGCTGCACCGGCTGAGAGGAAGTAGAAACAAAGCCTCCTCCACTCAGACAGGAAGTGATGTCCTTGACAGGGAAAAACAACATTCCTCTGTCATCTTCAGCTGCAGCCGCTGTCTGAAAGAGTCTGACCCCCCCACTCGCCCCACCTGGGTCACTGCTGAGCTGTACCACATAGTTTATAAGCCTGTGATGGATCTGACTAAATAAACAGTGCAGTGTGATTAGATTGTGTATCGGACTGATGATCCAGTTCAGCGACTCTCCAGCTCAGCATGTCTTTATTATTCAGTGTGTTTAAAGACAAAGCAGTGTGCCTGAGGTTTCTCCTCCACCCCTCCAGGGGCTGCACTCCTCCCAACGCTGAGCTGCTTTAACCTGAACCTGTAACGTTGTCGTTAATCTAGGGGCTTTATTTAGTCTCACTGTCCGATCCTCCTCTGTGAAGTCAGTTCAGAGCCGCAGCTGTTCTTGGTGTTTTGTCTTTATTTGCTGTTTTCCTGGATCTTCAGCCTTTGACTGTGTTTTTGGGTCAGTTTTCCCTCTGTGGACTCGTCTTCACTCTTTTTGAAGAATATCAGCTCAGTTGTCCATTAAACTGCGCTCTGATTGCTCCTGTGAGTCTGAGCTGATCTGTTACTGCAGTACGTCACAGTAATGTAATTCATTTTACTGTAATTAAGTAGTTTAACGCATTTCAGCTTAGACTGGTGTAATTACAGTCCAATTACCGACTTATTAAGTGTGATATTACCTGCCTTACTCAAACATCTCCAACAGAACAATATTAATTCCAAAGTATTAACGTTTCCTCTATATAGATTATCCGTGTATGTAAAGCTTTTGTGTGCTGTGTTATTACACACTTCTATAGCCTAAGAATAGCTCTGCCCGTTTGTACTGCGGCCCCTGTAATTACTGAATAATTAGCCTGTGATTTTAGGGGTTAAAGAGCTTTTAAGTGATGTTTGTTTGTAAATAAAACACTGAAAGGACTGTTTGTTGTACAGTAATCAGTGAAGTAATCTGAATAACTCGTACTCAGTGGCTGAGATGAGTGTAGATAAATAAATAAGAGATCAAAGAGCTGAAAACACAAACTTTACTACACATTCAGCATCAGTGAACACACACGTTTACACAAACACACCAGCTCATACTCTCTCTCTCTCTCTCTCTCTCTCTCTCTCTATCTCTCTCTCTCTCTAATTCTCTCTCTCTGTCTCTCTCTCTCTCTCTAACTCTCTCTCTCTCTCTCTCTCTCTCTAATTCTCTCTCTCTCTGTCTCTCTCTCTCTCTCTCTCTCTAATTCTCTCTCTCTCTGTCTCTCTCTCTCTCTCTAACTCTCTCTCTCTCTCTCTCTCTCTCTCTCTCAGAGGAAACAGTCTGTCTCTCTCTCTCTCTCTCTCTCTCTCTCTCAGAGGAAACAGTCTGTCTCTCTCTCTCTCTCTCTCTCTCTCTCTCTAACAATAAACAGTGCTTTATTGGCATGAATGTAATGAAATACTCTGTTGCCAAAGCAGTTAATAAGAAACACATAAAAAATAAGAAAAAGATGATATAATAGATTATAATAGAACACTAGAAAATAAGTTATTTACAGGGTTATTAGTAATCAAAGAAAAAGAAAAGGAAAATAAAAGAGTCAAGACAAATTTCATAAATATATAATAATCAATAAAAATCAATATCAGTTTCTCACTGGTTGTCCATCTTGTCCCTCTCTCTCTCTCTAACTCTATCTCTCTAACTCTCTCTCTCTCTAACACACTCTCTCTCTCTCTAACTCTCTCTCTCTCTAACTCTCTCTCTCTCTAACACACTCTCTCTCTCTAACTCTATCTCTCTCTCTAACTCTCTCTCTCTAACTCTCTCTCTCTCTAACTCTCTCTCTCTCTAACACACTCTCTCTCTCTCTCTAACTCTCTCTCTCTCTCTAACTCTATCTCTCTAACTCTCTCTCTCTCTCTAACTCTCTCTCTCTAACACACTCTCTCTCTCTCTCTAACTCTATCTCTCTCTCTAACTCTCTCTCTCTAACTCTCTCTCTCTAATTCTCTCTCTCTATCTCTCTCTCTAACTCTATCTCTCTAACTCTCTCTCTCTAACACACTCTCTCTCTCTCTAACACACTCTTTCTCTCTAACTCTCTCTCTCTAACACACTCTCTCTCTCTCTATCTCTCTCTCTAACTCTATCTCTCTAACTCTCTCTCTCTCTAACACACTCTCTCTCTCTCTAACACACTCTTTCTCTCTAACTCTCTCTCTCTAACACACTCTTTCTCTCTCTAACTCTCTATCTCTCTAACTCTCTCTCTCTAACTCTATCTCTCTCTCTAACTCTCTCTCTCTCTCTAACTCTCTCTCTCTAACTCTCTCTCTCTAATTCTCTCTCTCTATCTCTCTCTCTAACTCTCTCTCTCTCTCTAATTCTCTCTCTGTGTCTCTCTCTAACTCTCTCTCTAACTCTCTCTAATTCTCTCTCTCTGTGTGTCTCTCTCTAACTCTCTCTCTCTCTCTCTCTCTCTCTCTCTCTCTCTCTCTCTCTCTCTCTCTCAGAGGAAACAGTCTGTCTCTGTGGCTCCACTTCTCAGGATGTTGTTTCTCTTCCTTTTTCCTCTTCAGTAAACAGTCCTCTCCTGCCTTCCTGTTTACACTCAGCCTCTCAGACACTGACCACCTGCACCCCCCACACACCACCAGCACCACCACTACACCACACAGTCAGCCTTCTATAATCACCCAGATCACTACTATAACTGTAAATACTGACCAACTGGACACTTTATCAGAAACACCTACCTTGTAGCTCCACCCAGTCAGTGAACGTACACTGTGTTTCTGATAAAGTGGCCAGTGAGTGGAAGCAGAAGGTAGGTGTTTCCGATAAAGTGGCCAGTTAGTGTTTGTAATAATGCGGCCGGTTAGTGTTTGTAATAAAGTGGCCGGTTAGTGTTTCTAATAAAGTGGCCGGTTAGTGTTTGTAATAGAGTGGCCGGTTAGTGTTTCTAATAAAGTGGCCAGTTAGTGTTTGTAATAATGCGGCCGGTTAGTGTTTGTAATAAAGTGGCCGGTTAGTGTTTGTAATGGAGTGGCTGGTTAGTGTTTGTAATGGAGCGGCCGGTTAGTGTTTCTAATAAAGTGGCCGGTTAGTGTTTGTAATAGAGTGGCCGGTTAGTGTTTCTAATAAAGTGGCCGGTTAGTGTTTCTAATAAAGTGGCCGGTTAGTGTTTGTAATAGAGTGGCCGGTTAGTGTTTCTAATAAAGTGGCCAGTTAGTGTTTGTAATGGAGTGGCTGGTTAGTGTTTGTAATGGAGCGGCCGGTTAGTGTTTCTAATAAAGTGGCCGGTTAGTGTTTGTAATAAAGTGGCCGGTTAGTGTTTGTAATAAAGTGGCCGGTTGGTGTTTGTAATGGAGTGTAATGCTCTATGCGTTGTTCTACATTAATTATTGTAATGGCAGAAATGAATGGGGTCCTTGTGAATGGTGGATGGTTGACCTGTAGTGACCTGTTTAGTCATGTAGTGAAGTGAGGAACCGAGCGTAGCTGTAATCTCTCAGCGGGATGGAGTGAACGTGCCGAGACTGAAGGAAAGCTATTTCCTGTTTTTCTTACAGCGGTGCAGCAGCGTGAACACCAGGCCGGAGCTCATTCTGCCTGTTAGATTAGTTTAGTTTGGTCTTTTAGAGCTCTGTCCTGTGTTTACAGCACTGCAGCTGATCTCCACAGAGCCACACTCAAAATGTGTTTATAATTCAGTGTTTATTGATAAATAACAGTAAACAATCACAGCTCGATCGCAGTTACTTCCCCACAGTCACTGTATCTAATACAGTACTAAAGCCTGTCTATTTACAGCAAGCAAATACTCACAGACGCTTAAACGTTTGCACAGCAAATATTAATTACAGTCTATATTATTCACATTCACACAAATCAAAACATAAACACTGCATTCAGGACCAGCTCAGTGCAGAGCAGCTCAGCTACAGCCGGCTGTTCATGTTCAGCAGTGTTTCCCAGCCCAGCCCTGCACACGGGTCACACTCTACTGCTGCTCCCAGCACACTGAACTGAGCTATCTAGAACAGAATACCTGGTGAAGATGTGCTGGGAGCAGATAGAGAACCAAAAAGTGGACCACATAGTGGTTCACCTAAAGACTGTGGTGGGAAACACTGACATAAACAGCACAATGATTTACAGAACACAATGATTTACCCAATTAAAATATGAACTGATAAAAACTAACGAGGCACAGGTTACAATGAAAGGCTCTGTTCAAAACATGCAGGTGTGCAAACCTGTACAGCTGTGTTAATCAGTCTGTACAGATGTGTTTATTACACTGTACAGGTGTGTTAACCTGGCCGGAGGTGTGTAAATCAATCTGTACAGGTGTGTTAACCTTTCTGTAGGTGTGTTAAGCATCTGTACAGGTGTGCCAATCAGTGTGTACAGGTATGTTAACCTGTGTGTACAGATGTGTTAATCAGTCTTTATAAGTGTGTTAGACAGTCTGTTCAGGTGTGTTAACTGGTCTGTACAGGTGTGTTAGGCAGTCTGTACAGGTATGAACCTGTGTGTCCAGGTGTGTCCGGTGCCTCCTCATCGCTGACCTCTTCGCTGGACTGGCTGCTCATGCTTTGTCCACAGCTCTCGCTGAGCGATGTTACTTCATTTTGAAGGTCCAGTTCCTGAAGGTCACTGATGATCAGGTACACGTCCTCTTCACCTTCTTCATCTGAACACTCCTCGTCCAGGTAACTGTGGAACACAGTGTTTCGCTCTTCTTCCTCCTCCCCCACAGAATCCTCAGTGATGGAGCACAGTTTCTGACCACTGTGGACAGAGGTGGCTAGTAATCAGTTACATTTACTCAGTACTTCAGTGAGGTTTTGAAGGCTCTATACTTTATTTTAATTCAAAATACTAAGTACTGTTAACACAGATCAACTGTATTAAAGAGTAAAACAGTCTGTTTAACATTTGGTTCACACAGTGCAGTTAGACTTACATTAGACTTCCCTTCTGCTTGGACAGAAAAACAGCAACAGTCTACAGGACGTTTTTCTGACTGAACACACAACAATAACTTTAAATCCTATTCAAATATTTCCTCTTTTGCTCGCCGACAGTAATGTAGTCTGAAACGGAAGTTTAGAATCTTCCACACAGTTTCCCCACTTGTTTCGCTGAACTACTAGTCAGAAATAGTCCAGCTGAGTTTAAGAGGAGCTGTTTTAAAGCATGACTCTAGAAGGTTTAACCCCAGACTGCAGGAGAAATCACAGCCCTGCAGTTCAGGGGAATAAAAGAGCTTTTAAAGTGCTTTACAGTTTATTTTGAGCTTCATTTACTGAAATTAAAGCCATGATCAGTCGTGCAGCTGACAGAGAGACATGACCCGGCGTAACTCCTCCTGGAAGATTTAAATGAGCTGCTATCTTTTTTGTATTGACTCCAGACTTATTTACGTTATGAAAATGTCCAAATACACGCGTTTCTCCTGTAAAGCTGGACCTTAAGGGTCGTGCTGTATCTCTGAGGGTGCATTTCCATTGGTTGTACCCTGTGAGACTGAAATGCACCTGTCCAGAACTCTTTATTCGGACCCTCATGCTGGTGAAACCCACCTGTGGCTGCAGGTGTTTGGGGGCGGCGGTCTGTACGAACTCTGTCCGTTCAGGATCTTCCTGATGGGCACCAGTGGGACGGTTCCGTGTCCAGCCTGCTGCAGCTGCTGCCGTTTGGCATCCTGCCTGCGTTTGAGCCTCTGGAACTCAGTCAGGGCGGTCATCAGCGTCCGGTTCAGCAGGTTCTCCATGGCTTTGGCCTGGTCCGCTTTGGTCAGCAGAGCGGCGTGGCAGCGCAGAGTCACAGCTTTGTGTTTTATTTGGTGCCGGTAGACCCAGGTCAGCACTTGGGGCAGCGAGGGGTCCGCAGCACAGTAGGTGACCCTGTGCAGCAGGTACAGGTGACCCGGCTTCTGTTTGGCTTGTTTTTCGTCCATGTGCTCCATCCGAATGCCCTGAGCTCCAACGGTCAGCAGCATCCTGCAGCCGTTCCTGCCCATTTTGCTCTTCCTCCAGATCTTACTGACCGCAGCGTCGGTGCAGCCGGCTCCTTTGGCCTGCAGCGTGGTGGAGCTGCCCAGGTAGAGCACGGTGTAGGACGGGTCATCGGTGGAGATGGTCAGCGTCTTCCTTTTGGAGGGAAAAATCCCTCCGATCCTGTCCCGGTAGGATTTAACCCAGGACACGCAGCGTTTGGAATAGCTCTCCTCGCTCGGTTCTCCTTCACTCGGCATGCTGACCGGCTCTGCTCTGGACACATCCTCACGTGTGAGGAGCTGTTTAAAGCTCAGCGAGGTCCAGCCCACGGAGGAGGAACGAGGGAGGAGGAAAGGAGGAGAGCGGTCTGAGCCGGGATCAGCGCTCTGCAGGAAACCCTCAGATTAACCCTTACAGGACCACAGTTACTACTGCTGCCATACAGACGCCTCAGCGCTTAGTTTCATCTGGACCTTCAAAGAACTCGTCATGAACTTCAAAGACCAGCAGGTTCTTCTCCTTTTTGAACCCTGTTAATGTAAATAAAACTGACAACAGTTTTGCCAGTTTGTCTTTATGAGAGTCAGAATGTTTCACTTTTATATACTCAATATGTATTTTATGAATTTGTTTTTTGTTTCTAAACTTTGTTCAGAATTTTGATTCAGTAAAGTTAATAAAGTTTCTCTGTCATCTTTCTAGTCTTGGTTATCCGTCATATTTACATCACATTAGATGTATTTAGTATGTAATTATATTAGATTAGATTTCCATTCAGTGTGAACAGGTTTGAATCAGCACTTCTGTTTGTTTGGATGTCAAAAAATGACATAAACAGCTGAACCATAAAGGCTTTTTCTGACAGTGCAAATTCAAATCATAATGAAATAAATATCTCCTCTTCTACTCAGAGACATTAATGTGGTATAGATTCAACATTTACAGTCTGCACTTTCCACAGTTTCTCCTCCTGTTTCAGCGAAACACCAGCCAGGTTTCTGATCTGCTTTAAGGCGTAAAAACCTTCCAGAAGGATTATCTGGAGAAATCACAGCCCTGCAGGTCACATGGAATAAACATACCTTCAGCTTTACTGTTTATTCTGAGCTTAATCTACTGAAACTATAGTCACAATCAGTCACGTAGCGACAGAGAGCTGAACAGACTGTTTAAAAGGAGCTTTTTCTCCAGAAAAAGTGCTCAAAATATATTTAAACAAAACACAATTTTATTAAACATAAACTAGAGGCTGATCCGCTGAGTGTTTGACTGATTGGCAGATTCTGATCATTGAAGTATCTCTGGGTGATACGGTAACTAATCGATCCACACGCTGAACAACTAATGACCAAAACAGGAAGCTCTGTTCTATGGATCGCTCCCAGCTCTGGGACTGGACTGAGCTGTGATTGTTCATTGTGTTGAGGTCACCGTCGCTGAGCTGTGCAGTGCTGAGTGTTTCAGTGGCTGGTTTAAACAGAGCCGATGGTGAGTGAAGCTGAACTCTGCAGTGTAAACGTCTGTGAACGTCCACGTTTACTGACCTCATCGTTTACAGTTTACGCTGCAGTTCGGTTTGTTAGAGTCCAGGCAGTGAGTGCTGAATGACCTCAGATTCAGTGGACATGAGTAGATTTAGATTAGCCTGCTGCTGCCACCTATCAGCCGTAAGAGGGAACTGCACCTGCTGTCAGGAACATAAACAGGGAAAGGAGCAGCTGTTTCAGAGTTAATATGTAACAGGTGGTAAATAAACGAGCAGCTGTTATAGAGTTAATGTATGATGGACGGTGAGGACGTCCAGCATCCAGATCAAAGTGCACATGCTTTTGTTTTTGTTGGACGTTTCTGCAGAAAGTCATGCGGAGGGTTTAATAGCATCACTTCATCTGATTTTACTGTAAGAGGGAATTTTTAACACTGGAAACATTCGGACTCTGACCTTCCTGCTGTTATTTAAATACGACTGACCTCATTATTGGAGTCGTAAGACCAGTGAACAGACTCGTCTGCACAGTCAGACTAAATTAACATCCTTTATTTCTGTTTTAATCTTACAAAACTGTAAAAAACTATCAGGATTAGTTTTTATTTATTCTCCTTTAAACTTTAAACTCAGTGCATCAGCTGAATACCTTCCTCTGTAAGATGATTATTTATTCTTAGTGATTTCATTTTTAATAACTGTTACGGCTTTTAAAAACAGTGCTTGTTACAATTTAGCTTCCTTTAGCTGAATTAGCTGTCTGGCTAACTAGTCTTAGCTAAGTAGCTGCTGTTGCTTTATTTGTTCTTCTACTCTTTTCTGTGTTTTGTCATTTTAGACTAATAAGCACCACAACTCTTAAACATAACTAACTAATGTGTTAGCTTAGGTAGCTAAATCTATTGCTTCTCTACACACTACAATCAGCTGATACTGTAAACAGACACTACACTCAGATTACTGTTTGATTGATTGATTGATTGATTGATTGATTGATTGATTAATTGAGCCAGATTGATTAATATTTATTTATTTATTTATTATATATGGAGATGAAAGTTAGATTAATTTTTGCAGAGAGCTGTTTTTCTCATCACTGTTCATGAGAAGTGATGATTATTATTAATACTGATGGTCGAACAGGTAAGACGCTCACCTGAGCAGGTGAGCAGGTGTTTACTCACATTTGTCTCTCATTAAAAGCTTAATCGTATCTAAATCATTGTACTCGCAGTGTTACATGGTGCTGGTTAGAGATTGTCACTCATGAATATATGATTTAGAAGTGTATTAAATTAGTCTAGAACACATTAATGCAATATTACATTAATCCTGATGTGACAGTGTTGTAGTTTCTATCACTTCCACTAGATGGCGCCATGTCACTGCTCATTAGATCAATAATAAACACGTACACTGTTGTATGTCCTAAAGGTCTAAATGTGCTCTGAGCTCTGAACACAAATCTGAAGAACTGTTTAAGGTCAAACTAAAAACATCGCCTAAAAATAAATCTATCATTACATTCAGTCTTTTGGTCACATGGGACGACTGATTTAACGATATGAAGGAAACGATAGGAAATTCTAATTTAATTGTGAAGTATAAAAATTACATGAAATCAAAACAATGAATATGTGCACCTTTAGACTTTCATTTAAAATACACCTCATCACTTCAGACTGAAGGTTCTGGTTCTGGAGTTCTGGACTGCGTTATGTAGTGTTCTGCTGCCCTAAGTCTCCCTCATGAAGAGCTTGTTCATTAGTTCATTAGTTGTGTTGGGAGCAGAGCAGTGGATCTCCAGGACCAGAACCAGAACCCCACTGCTTTAGACCAATCAGAACATGTTCTCTACCATTTTCCTCTTTACACTAAATGTAGTTGCTGTTCATGAAGGGGTTAATCTGAGCACTGACAGAATAAACATCCATGTTTCAGTGTCAGCCACAGGGGGCGCTCTGTCAGAGGGGGCTGCAGGTGTGGGTGAGTAGCAAGTGATCAATGTACACAATCAACCAGTGTTCTTAAATCTCTCTGGTAAGAATTAAAATTGCAGGCAGTTCAACTTTGTGACGTTTCGTTAGACAGTCAGTCAAAACGCTGATGGCGCATCAGGTGATCACATCCAACACCACTTACAAATGACTGACTTCACTGGATCCAGATCAATGGACAAGAAACTGAAACAGAAGGTGGTTTCATCAGGTGGGTGAAAAGGAGATCGTTCTGTGTGAATCTTCTCATTTTATTTTCCAATAAACAATAAACAAATCACTGCTGTACATCACATCTCCAAAACAGTAACTTTACAGGAGAAGGAAAAAACAGACTTTACTTTTAATGTAAGTCAATGGAACCAGACTTTTCTCCGAGTCTTTTTGGGTCGTTTCTTTTGGTCCATTCATCATGAAATTTACACACAGTGTAAAGGGTAACAGGCATTTTCAAAATATGTCAAAAACTCAAAAACGTCAAAATGGAGATACGAGGTTTTCGATAACAGCGAAATGTGAGCTCCAAATGTGACGGGTCTGTGCCTGTTGGTGTAGAAGTGAGTCACAGATATAGGAAAGAGCATCAGTGACAGCTGGGAAGATGAACGCTAAGTGAGAATATGTTAAAATGAGAATAAAACCATATGGATGAGTTTATATATCAAACGCTGCCAATGTGGGTAAGTAGTGCAGTAACTGAGAGTCGTGTGCAGTTTTCTGTTTGTGTTGTGATTTGCTTCGTGTATCAGTCAAGTTGCACACAAATTGCATGCAACTCACAACACTGGACCAGTTGCATGAAAGTTGAACCCGAGAATTTGAGAATTATTACCAGATTTATTATGTGTGCATAATTTAGATTCTATATTGAAATCTCACATTTCTTTCTGTAATTTCTGACACAAACAGCAAAAACAACATAAACTCTGACCCAGGCATGATTCTAAGGTCAGAGCTTTAGGGGGGGTCTAGGGTTTAGGGGCCAATGAGACCAAAAGAGGGGGCGAGACACACCCATGATGTGAACAACAGTAATAACCTCTCAGATTGTCTTACTGGTGGTGAAGCTGCCTCTCTGTAAAGGTTAACACTGAGTTCTGTTAATGACTGTAATAATTCTGTCCAGTCACGAGTCCAGTCTCGGTAATGATGACCGTAATGGGGTTAACAGAGCCGGCGGGCAGCGCTGGCCGAGTCCGTCCGCTCCCTCCGCTTTGTGTTTGCTCTATTATCCGCCGCTCGCTCTGTTTCAGCCTTCAATTACACATCGATTATGGGATTTAGGGGTGCTGTGTGTCGGGGGTCCCGGAGGTCCGCAGGCGGGAGCGGGGCTGAGCGGAGTGAATGGTGGGATTGAGGGGCGCGGCTGAAAGAGTTCGGGGTTACCGCGGGGCCTCGGCGGACGGGGGTCTGTGGAATAGAGGCAGTGGATTATAGGAATATTCATGACTGGATAAGGAGGAGTCATGAATTGATGATCCCGGTCATCCTGTAAGTAAACAGCACATAAATGGGAGAAACAAGCTTCTGATTCTGGAATGTTCTGGGAATGCCGTGGCTCCGAGAGGCACAGTACACATTTTTACACATTCCTGCCTCAGAAATGAAGAAAGAACAGAGGAAAACAAAGAGAATCCACTTCTACACCAACAGGCACAGACTCACCTGCTCATGAAGCCTCTGATCAGGAAAACGGAGTTAAATCTGAAATTTCATTAGCTGTATTTAATTATTCCACTCTGCTGATGAATAAGCCGATAGATAGGTAACCTGATGTGTGAGTAACCAGACTGAGTTTCTGTAGATTTTGGTCTTTGATCTTTGGTCTTGAGTTTTGAGAGCTGCCCATTTAAACAGCCCACCTTCATTAGACCGTCACTCTTCTCTGTGGTTCTCTCGTCTCCCAGTTACAAAGAGGAT